TTATCATTAATTATTTATAAAAATACCTTATATTAAGGTACCAAAAAATTTTAATCTTTAACTGTCTAGCACTTCAAGTATATAAAATTTTCTATCCAATATTATTTATTTCACAAAGATACAAGGATACTTTCAATGAGCACACCAGATTCCTCATCTACCTCATGAGAACATAGCAATCCATATGATATAAATTATGTAAAATTACTAGAAAAAAAATGAAATCGAAAATTATGGAGCTAGATAAACAAGTGTGATAGTGCATGCATATGTTTAATAAACTTTTTATGTACACCATTTCATCTATTTGTTATAGATAGTTCTGTAATTTTGTGGTTGCTTATTGATATGTAAAAATGTTGGCAGACTTTAAAAATAAAATAAATTATATCTTGATTATTAATCTTAAATTATTATTTTTTATTAAAAACTTAAATTTTATAGATAAATTAATAGGTTTTCATTTCTCTATCAATTTGAAATGTTAAATTCATATTATGTAGATTCTTAACATAAATAAGGTCCACCTAGTTGAGGCATATAATGTAAATTAAAATCAATAATTATATTTCTGTTAAAACTTTACATAATTATAAACAATCATTGTAAATAGGAACATCGTAAAAATCATTATTATATTGTAGGGGCTATTGGCTTTAAGTAAACTTATCTATGATTATAAAAACATGAATTTTTGAATATTTTGTATTGAAAAAAGTAAACTATTGTAGTATTTTTACAGGAAAACTTAAAAGTGTGTATTTACAAGCATGTGTGGAATTCATTTAAAAATGGCACTGAAAAAGTCCTTGTTTAAAAATTAATTAATTTATCATTATTTTTTCTGATCACTTGCATTTGCAATACTATATTGATATTTATTTTAAAGGAAAATAATTAAAAAACCCACTTCAAGCAATTAGTGCTTGAGGTGGGATTTAAACCCATAAACACTCACAGTCTGGGCGTCTGCTAAAACCAATTTAACTACCAGATAACCAGCAGGTTTTGTGAATTTAAGAATTACCTGCATTACTAGTGAGCATATGCTCATTTATGTTTAGGAAGTTCACCAAAACTATATTAATAATACCATTATAGAGAATAGAATAGAAAATTCTTTATTGTTAACATTACACAAGTTATATAGGTAAAATAAAATAAAATAACAAATGGCGGCATTATTGCTTAAAGCGATTTCTTCCAGGCAACCATGGGATGGAGAGAGAGAGACAACAATTTATGAAGACAGGGGTGTAAATGTTATCAATAACATTAAAAAGAAAATATGATCAAATAATAATCTTAATTAAAAAATTATAATTATGAATAATTTTTTTTCTGACAAAGTATTACTCACTTTTTTATTTGGAGATTATAATATTATAAAGGATTATTTCATCATATCATCATCATGTTTAAAGGATTGTTAAACAGGTAAATATACTGTTTATAAGATTTTATTCTGAATTATTTTTAATTTTAAAAATAAAATAAAATGATCTTAGCCTCAGCTCAGTTTTATGTAACATTTGAAATAACATGAGGCTTTCTGTAACCATATATTAAGTTGCGTGCAAGATAAATGTTCAGCCTAATTAGTATTAGCTACATGAAAAATACATATTCTACTGTTTTTGACACAAAGTTAAAACCAACCACCAATATTCCAAAGAAAACTGTCATATGCTATGATGGGTTACAATTTAGAACAAAAAAAAAATAAGCCTGTGAATCAGGAGCTCTTGTTCAATTTGGCAGGAATTTATATATGTAAGTTCTTTTATATCAGTTGAAACTTATACTTAATTTGCTCATAGTCAGCATGGATGACAGCTGCGAGCAGATCCATGCAACTACAAGAATTTAATTTGTATACAACTTAATGTGAAAGATATGTCAAATCATTAATAATTTTCTCTGATCTTACTTATAATATCTAGTCAATAATAACATTTCTAATGGGTTTCTATAACAAACATTGTTTTAAATTTAATCTTGAATAGATTTTCCACAGTATATATTATGTTGCCTTGCTTGATTCGGTGTACAGATGTAGGTATAGCCAGATTTCGAAAGATATTGGATTCATTTCATCATCAATAATTCTCTCTTAAATGTCTACTTTGAATCGACTATCGTTTATCTTCTTCACTAAGTTATTGATACGTATGAATATTTATTTTCAATCGAAAACTTCTTCTTTTATTAAGGGCTTTCGCATAATTCTGCCAATTTCACGTGCGTAGCCAATACATGGTATGAATTATTTTATAAAATTAATTTTGTAAATAATATTTTCCAGTATAATGTTTCACTTCCTATTACAGTTTAATATTACAAAAAAATACACATATGGGGATTATTTTAGTAGATATCCCATATTAAATTGTCATTTACAATTCAATTTTGTCAATTTCATTCTTCTTTTATTAATGGTATATCTGCGCATTTCACACAATTCAGCCAAAGTCAAGTGAATAAATTAATTTCTACATGTAAAATGAAAAAGTAATGAATGAAAGATTAATTAAAACATTGTCTGTATCATTGTGGTTTGTATTGACAAAAAGTGAATTGGTGTTGCAATGAAAATCATGAAAATCAAACATCGATTGGAAAATAATCGATTAATTCATTCATTATCATATTGAATAAAAAAAACTTTAATATACTTTTAGTTAATTTTGGTGCAATTTTGCATTTTACCTAAGTTTTACGGACTACTACGGTTGTTGATTCAACAACGCCCAAATAAATAAATATATATATTATTATTATTATGTAATTTCCAATGCCCGTGATTGGAAATGTTATATGAAAACCTAATGAAGTCCCATAAAGTCACAATATGAACTATGAAGTTCTACTAAGTCCATGTAGTTTGATGAAGTCTGGTGATATTCAATGAAGTTTAATGAATTCTGTTTAAATGGATTGAAGTTACTAAAGTCATATGCAATCATCATTTAACTTTAACATTTAATTTTTAGTACAAACAAATGTATAAATTTAATGATTATTTTTGTTGTACATTCTTTTGAAACGGAGTTATTTAAAGTAAAGTATACACCTCTGGATTAATGTTCGTCTTAGTCTTGGACTGATTGCATACCTCACTTCTTACAGTTTGTTAGTGACTGAAAATGAGTCAAAACTTTTCTGTTCACGACCTACCCATGTAGGTACCGTTTTATTTTACGGAATCATATTATTCACTTTCATGCTACTTTATCTCACATAATAACATTTATTTTGCGAATTAAAACTCGGTATAAACAATAAAATAAACCAACACCATTTGAATTTTGAAACTTAACTCTTTAAGCTTGACGTTATCTTTAGTTGACGCCAGGATTTATAGTATTTCATCTGACTTTTTTTGTTAATCAAAAGACTTAATTATATCGGATTTATGCTTTATATATTAAGCATGTTTAAAGTTGAGTGCTTAATAATAGAATTGGGTATATGACGCTTTTCTGAAAACTAATTAATTAAAATAGTTGTTTGATACATTATAAACACACTGTCAATATATTACATGAGAATCTGTTCTATTTTCGATGAATATAATTTTAAAATCTACAGATTATAAGAAATAAACTTTTATTAGATTATTATCTAACATGATGATAATAATACGCAACTTATTTTTATAGTGTCAAATACCCATAATGATAAAAATATTAATTATAAATTCGCGTTTCGGGTATTTTCCCTTGTAGCTTAACACTTAGGTATACACTTTCTTAATGTAGCTAATGTTCGGTTGTTTCGTCCTTATTTTAAAACGATCGAATACAAATGTAATACATTCATTATATAGTGATAAAAAAATGAATAATCATTAATCGTCTCCCGTTTAACTAATAATTTCATTTATTTTATTCTGGTAACACTAATGACAGCTGTTTGGTTCGGCTACGATTACGTTTCAATTTAGTAAACGTTCGTTTGATAATTGACGTTAGCAGAATGCAAATTTACAGCAAAAATCGAAACGTAACCGTTACAGAAACGCTATTGACGATCGATCGTTGTAAATTAGTAGAATTGGCCCCCTGGACTGTAGGTAGAACGGAGACCACACGTTAGGCAATACCGTTGAGACAGTATATTTGATTCATGGTATATATGTAACATTGAATCAATTGACATACAGAATACTTCGTAAATCGAAGTATTCTGTATACTGTAACTAATGGATATCCATATAATGAGTTATAAATTTTTTTAACAATAACGATATACATCTCCATTACACCAGCATTTTATGAAAAAAGTATTGTTAGTGTTAAAATAATACTTTTAAATAAATCCAAAGAAATGATCCAAATAAATGATATTTACTTAGGAAAAGTTTTATGTAACGCAAATGAGAAAATTTTCATATTACTTTTATTTATATATTAATATTAAACTATTTTTTTTTATTTACGAAAATGTTAACTCATAACATCTGAAGTGAATTAAACAGTCAATCAATATTATAATTTTCTAGTCTATTTATTAGACATTACCACAAACATCGCTCAGATTCTTAATTTAAGAGCTTAAGTACTTTCATAATGAAAATCTGAAACAAACATCAAATATAACACAACACCCGGACCCAAGACAATATAGACCAAGCCTATTTCCACATTGTTGCAACGGAAATCGACCCTAGGTGCTCAGATATAGCGTTTCGTCAGCCTAAAACCGGCCTATGAACCGCTCGGTTACGGAGATCGTTATTGCAAATGAAGAATTTACCATTTTGAGTTATTAATTTTTAAATCTACTACTTTTTAACGAGAAAAATTTGGCCTAACAACTTAAGATGAGTATCTATTAAGTTATATAGATACACAAACAAATATTTCCATTCAAAAGCGACGCAGTATCCTGCACGAAATAAACTCGTTGTCACCGTATAGTGTACAGCACGACACAGCCAGGGGGAAGAAGTGAGGCATACGGGTGATGCGTCGATTTCACCGAAATAAGATTAATAAATGCACGCGGCGCGGGGCGGCCGGTGGCGGCGTTCGCGGCTAATGACACGCGCCTCTGCAGATTTTTTTTATCGCGAATTTAAAACATAAACTGGTTGCGGCGGTAGCTGCTCTCCCCCCGCTCCGAACCCCGCTAGCCTGCACCTCTGCATAGTTCACCGCTCCTGCTGCTGCGCACACAACTCTCAACACCTTTCGCCAGACCTTGCTAATAGTGTCCACTTGAGATTCAGTGACCTAGTCTTTTATGAAAACGTTTAACTTAACGTCTTTATGAATTACAAAATACGAAGTGTGCTATCGATCAAAGTCAAATTGCTTCTATTCAGTCTAGGCTGTTAAGTACTTGTGATATGTTTCAGACATACTTTTTCTTAGCTGAGTCAGCGTTCTAAATTGACATAAGTATATTTTCTAAATACTTTATGGTTTAATTTAGTTTTTATTCAATAATATGTTTACAAAAGCGTATTAGTCTCTATTAAGTATAAATGCAAAACCCCACGTGTTAATGGCTTGCGTTGATGTCTTTTATAAGGACAACATACTTGACACTCCTGCGCAACTTAATTGTGCGTAGTTACCTAGAATTCTACATCAACTACGGCGTGGTGCATTCTGACAGATGTCAGTGCAGTCGTCCGCTATTCTAGACGCGGTGCAGTGAACCGGTTATCGCTAAATGTTTCACGGAAAGCTGGCTGATTTCTCGCAGGTTTTCCATCAACGTCGCGGTGATATCGACCGGGAGACAATAAATCCGGTTCTGCAGCGGGCGGGTTGCAATTAAACTAGTGTCGCGGCTGGGTTCGCGGACCGTGCGAAAGTGAAGCACTCGCCGCCGACGCCGGCTGCGGAAACCACAGACTAGGCTTACAAGTTTATCTAAAAAAAACTAAGTTTTTTAAAGCCCTCGTCTCATTGTAATTTTTTAAGGTAGTGGTGCTGAAATTATTATAATAGAAACTTGACAAAGTTTCTTTCCATGAGCTCAACTCTGCGAGAGGATTATATAGGTACAGTTGAAAGCACGTTAAGTTACTAATAAAAAGGGGCTAAATTTCTTCAATCGATTTTGAGATAATTATTTAGTTCAAAATTGATTGTACAAATTTTGCCTTTTGTAGTAACTTGATGTGCTTTTTAATATATTTATAATTGAAACAATATAATATAAGAGTGAAATGTCGAAATTCATTGTTCCTTAAACCCAGTGTAATAGGAATCTAGCTTTCGGAGGCAGAGTGTTAAGTCCGAGGTTAGTCGCAAAAAGTGGCGGAGTGAGTAGTTTGATTGTGCGTATGCTGTGGTAAAGCTGGTGGTGGTTACCGAGTGGTAGTGCGGGCGGGCACGGGAGCGCAGCAGAGCGCTGCGCAGTCCGCGCGCAGAGTCCGGCGCACGCGCACGCGCCGCAGCGCCCGAGTGATGTCGCGCTAGCGGCGCGCGCCATGGTGTATCCCGAGCCGGCCCGCTGGGGCGCGCCCGACGCCGCGCTCGCGCCCCTCTACGATGACGTCTACCGAGGTCAGCTGACATTTGCAAGTTGCAACCTCCGATGCATCGCCCTTTGTCTCTGTGACTCTTCGCAATTTCTAATCTCTTGATAACTTATACGGTTGCGCTCGTTATCTTAGTTGCACATGTGAAAGCTCGATAAGTTTAGCTTATACATTATATGATATTGATGGAATACAGTTTCTTCTTACGTCCCTGTCTGTGGACGGCCTCGTTAGTGAATTATGGACAATATGCGAATTTATTTGTGTATGTATAATGTTATACCTAATATTATAGATAGAATGTTTGTATAAATAAAAAAAAGTCAAAGATTCACTCCTAATCGACTTATTTTAGTAGTTGCTAATATAAACTTTATAATATATTAATTCAAAAAATTAATTCAATTTACTCTGACTGCTCTTAAAGTTCAAATAAAATAAATATTATAATGGCGCGCCCCGTTCGTTAGTGCGAATTCGTCTAAACGTAGAGCCTTTGTCTCGGTACCGGTTGGTTGAGTCATGTCGTGATTGATAGGCTAAACCTATATTATAAGAATATGGGATCAAAGTGCTGACAGATACTGTTGCCGATCAGCTGATTAACTGCCGTGTATTTATATCTGACGTCATCGTTCATTTCACTGTGTTTAGAAAATCGCTATTAAAACTGGTTTTCCAAACTGGATAGTGCCAGACATAAGTAAGCTCGAAATTTTTTTTATTAATAATACTAATTTTAATTACTCGCAAAACTTGCACAACCGTTTCATTACTTAATGTTTTTTTTAACGAGTTGCAAAAGTAACAGTTCGTTATTAAAATTATTCACACAGTTGATTCGTACGGAATGACCTGTCCAGAGCGTTTAAATGTTACTGTTAGTATTGTTTTCTTGCATCTTTGAAGGTTCTTCAAACGGTGTTTCTCTCGATAATTGAGCAACAAGTCCAGTCGGCGTTATAGAACTCAATTAAATGTTCCGAATCGAACTGACTTGAGTAAATTCAAATTGAGCTTTTACGACGAACCGTTTACAATCCACAATAAAGTTGCCGTGTATGAGTCGCACCCGTTACTTACAGATTGTTAATCCAAGAAAAAAAAAATATTGTAGTATATCACACCGAAGCTAATCCATGCGATGCATCGATTCTAAACTTTTTATTTTTCTCGAAACTCGTCGAAACACTCGATTGTGGCCAAAGGTTAATTCGTCATACTATTTTAGTGAAACCTCAAAGTAAGTTTTTTTTATATCAATTGGATAGTGTTCTTACTATTACCTTTTTAAAATTTCATTATCAACTTTATCATTTTTGCTCGAATATGACTTATTGACTTATTAAAACAGGAGTCCAAATAACTGTAATAAAAATATAGGCTTTCATCATATTTCTTAGTGATTTGATTATATTATCTTGATATAAAAAAAAACAAATCCTCTTGCTTTGTTAAATATTTCTTGTACAATGAAAAATTATAAAAAAAACATGTGAGTCATTTTGCAATACAGAGTCGATACCAGTGATTTTTAATAGCTTAAGCTTAAGCTCAGACCAAATTTTTTATTCGGTCTGAGCGATTAAGTAGTCGATCGAAAATGATTTTGTGATCTTGCTGTTTTATTGACGTTGCGTTCTTGTCTCCTTTTAAAAACACTGTAAATTTTTTAGTTTCATACTAACTCCTTTAACGATTCGTGTATATATTGCATTCATCAGATATGTTGGGTATCTTTAGTATTTTCACATCTAAAATTTTCATCCATTCCTTTATGAATCTTGAATATTTTCTATTCTGTCGTAATGTATTTTATATGGCGAAGTTAACAGAGACTCTGCGGCGCTACCCCTTCTTTTTAATTTTAAGAAATGCAATGCGAATTATTTTATTTGGAATTAGTTATTATTAACTACTCGTCGCCGTAGATGTCCGAGCATCTTGTGAAATTATGTAATTAATAGGATGTATTATTAAATTAAAATTTATAGGGTCAAATTTTAGTCTATAGAATAGAAATAAATGTTTCATTATTTAAGTATTTTTATTTATTAAATTTTATATGAATCCATCCACCAGTTATAGCCCGTTTTCCCTATTCGATTCCATTCATGGATGACAAGTATCCCTAAAGAGGGGATATTAATATATTAGTTATAAATATATATTTTTATCATTCTCTTGGTTTTAAAACACAGGCTGTATTTAACTGTAATCGTTTTTCATTTAAATTTATTCAATAAATGTCAGTTGTGATCATAAATGTCGGTAGATTTCTGATATAAAAAAAAACTATGACATTCTATTTCTAACTTACTTCAAAGAGAAATCCATCATTTATATAATTAAATATGTGGTCGGACAAGTTGGAGCATAAAACATATACGGATTAAGTAGTAGAGAGGTTATTAGGTAATAAGTGAGTACGTTTTCTCAAACATAACGTCGGCTAGGAATTTCACTTAGGCGGCTAGATCTGTCTGCGCGTAGGCGATAGCTGCCTCACCGTTACTAAGGCCGCTACTTACAGTAAAACCAGCTTAAGATGATTTTACAGGGACCCAACCAAAAACGCGTCAAAAGCGGAAAAGCATATTTTTATTGGGTTTATCAACAGTTGATACAATAGTACGTAAATAAAATTCAAAAACACTGAGGGGTCTTATTATAATTGTACAACCTGCTAAAGATAAACATAACGTGCATAAAATAACTTTCGATTATACATTTAGGTTCTAATCAAAATAAACAATAAATAAAATAAGATAACATTCTTTTTCATGTCTTGAATCTTGGGAAAGAGTAATTAAAATTTAAGTATTCGCTATCTAATTTTTAAATTGAGTTAGACTTTTATCTCTGTGTGGACGAAGTGTTTTTAAACATTTTTCATTAATATTTTATTTTAGTATAGCATTGTGAACATAGTATAAATCTGAAGATTTTATATATTAACTTTTACAGTGAGTGAAGCGTTCACTGATAACAACGTCTGTGAAATAAAAGCTTTCATTGCACGGATTAATTACATGAAGGAATATCTAGCAAAACCTCACAGCACCACGGGTTCTTTTTTCAAAACAACGTTATTAATATTTTAAGACGATTTTGTATGAATTTAGGTATAATTTTATTCTTTCTTTAATAGATATAAACGAGTGCGAGTCCGACTAGCGCTCCGTTTCATTCTATGAACGAACAAAAAAATCACGTTTGTTATATGAGAGCCCCTTAAATATTTATTTTATTCTGGTTGGTCTAGTACCCTATTACTAAGACTTGGCTGTCTGTATGTCACCAGGCTGTTTCTCAATAATCCTGAATGTTAGACAGTTGAAATTTTCACAGATGATGTATTTCTGTTGCAGTTTCGAATACTAAAAAATAATATTTGTTGTAGGGTTTGACGTAAGATAGTGTATATGGCCGGTGTATATTGACGTAAGATGGGACGCCGGTTACCGGTCGCTAGAAAGACACCCTACCTTCCACACACGAATGAAGATCAGACACGGGGTCTAAAGAAATTAATTAAATGCATTTTTAGCAACTTATTATTCATATTCATGTGATTGTGCATTTGACTACCTACAATCCTACATGATACTTAAAATACGGTTATAAAAATGGTGAATTTTAACAACATATCCGATATTTATTTATTGAGCATTTCGGTGGACGAAAGGGTAATGCTCCAGTTTCATGACGTCATATTATATTCATATCAATTTCAAGGAGTTTAATGTGTACCTAATTTCGGTGGCGAATATTTCTTTTTTTTTGAACGACTTTAAAAGGTTCTCGACTCCACTGGTTCTTTTTTTTTGTGTGTTTGTTACGAGATTACTACGCTATTTGTGAATCGATTTTCAAAATTTTTTTTTTTCGACAGCTTAATGGGCGAGTAATTTTCTTTTTAAAACAAAAAACATGTTTTTCATCGGATATCACATAAATATTTTGATGTCATGTTTATATTAGGTTAGGAAAAAAGTCGATTCGCATATAGTATGCATAAACTTGTAATAAAATCTTTCTGGCTATACCATTTGTATCTATCTGGCTGGTTTCGGTATCATTAAAAAGTATAATTATTCAAGAAGACAACTCCGAATTCAAATCAGGAAAATATATGATTTTAATTGGTTTTTCTTACTGTCAAAATCACCGAATTAAAAATTTCTTACAAAAAAGAAAAAAAAATGGGAGTTTTATGGACCTAGTACAGTTTTTGTGAGAGTGCTACTCTTTCGAATCGAATTTGGCTTAAGAGTTTTTAGTCCGGAAATTTTGTTACGCAGTATCTTTGTGAACTTATAAACCAATTAAATAAATATTAGACATCATCGCATACATTGTTCAGCTCTCAATTAGCTAAATTACTTGTATTATAATAATGTGCAACAACATAGGCCTCACAACACCAGAGCTGCGACCACCTAATTCTCTAGCCATATCTTTAGCTTTAGGATACGACATCTTATGGAATATTATGACGGTATTTCGTACGTAATTTGACACGTTTTTTGGTGGATAAAATTACTAAGATGGAAACACTGCTGCCAAATCCATACTCATCGTTCGATCTCCGTCATTTAAAGTTCATGTCAAAGTAGAAAAGTGAAACATCGACAAGTTACTTATGCTGCCTCGGCGTAAAACAAATTATGGACAGTTCTTACCTATTTATCGTCTTTATAGTCTCTATAATAAATACTGTAATAATATCGACCTCAGTAACGCAATTGCTATGATTCATAGACTATTTAACAAATAGTTACTTGTGAAAATGGTTTTATTTACTTTTAAGTTATATAAGAACCTAAATGATACTGGAATGTCATGTTATGCATGTTTTATTTATTTATTTATTTATTTATTTATTTAATCTTTATGCCTATAACATAGCAATGGCGGACTTAATGCCAAAAAGGCATTCTCTACCAGTCAAACCGGTGAAGGTGTACAGAGCATTCAAAAGGCGGTATCATAGATGAACAAAGTTACAACTTATAACTAATT